CGCCCGGGCCGCGAGCCCCGCCCCTCCCCGCAGTCGGAGCTGAGCTTGTCCCCCACCCCCACCCGCAGGCCTCCGGGAGCACGGACCCCCCGCGGCGCCGGAGGCCCCAGGCCCCCAGCAGGCCGAGCCCAGCGGGTGCCCTGGGGCGGCGGACGCCCCCCGGGAGCCGCTCAGCCTCCGGCTGGACACCCTGCTCTTCCGCCTCCACCTGCTCTTCCTGGCCGCCTCCGTCCTCACCGTCGCGATCCTTTGGAGCACCTAGGAACCTGGGCTTGGAGGCCGCGGGCGCCGCCCCTTCTGCCCGACAGCGATCCCTGATGACCAGGTCCCCGCTGCCTTCCGCCCCCCCCCAGTCCCGGCCTGAGCTCAGTGTGATCTTCTCTTCAACACCGTGCCCTTGTCCCCGCGTTCCCGGAGCACCCTCCTGTCTACCTGGGTCTGGGGGACTCCTCAGCCCCGCATCTGGCCCCAATAAATCTTTGCAGAGATCTCCGACTCTGTGTCACCTCGTAGGGTAGGAATCTAAGTACGCAGGCCTGGAAGTCTCCAAATATCCCCCATGAACCCCTCTACCTGAAATAAATTTTCAGGGTCATTAAGGGTGACCCTGTCACCTGAACTCCAGTGTGGCACCTGCCCTGTTGGAGAAGACTTCATTCTCTTTGCTATTTTAAAAAGCTCTCTCTCTCTCTCTCTCTCTCTCTCTCTCTCTCTCTCTCTCTCTCTCTCTCTCCTACTGGGTCTGTGGGTTACAGGGTCTACAGGGTCTCACTACATAGATCCAACTGGTAGTGATTCTCTTGTTTTCAGCCTCCCAAGTGCTGGGATTACAGGCGCGTGCCACCACGCCCCATTTTTCGAACCCCGCCTCTGCGCTCTGCCTAAACCAGCGCTTTAGCCTGCTGAGCTATTTGCCCAGCCCTCTTTCTTTTCATATCTGCAGTACGGGGGACCTAACGTTTGTCAGGCAGGTGCTTACGCTGCTGAGCTATATCGCCCGCCTTTGAAAACTATGTTTTGTTGGGGTTTTTTTTCTTAATTTTTGTACTTAACACAAGTAGAGATTAATAAAGAAAATAGAAAAAACACTTTTTACTTCCAAGAAAATATAAAGAAAAATAGAGAATAGTAATAAATACACTGTGTATCATGATCTTAAAACAATAGCCGAAATATTACCCAGAGTACAAAAAAGACACGAGAAGGAACAAACAGGGACGGGAGATAGCTCAGTAGAATAAGCGCTTGCCTGGCAAGCGCAAGGGCCTGATTGGAAGTGGTATATGTGTCCATCATCAGACAAATGAATAAGGAAAATGTGGTAGGCATACACAGTGGAGTACTACTCTGCCATGAAGATAAACTTGAGGCATTCTTAGATACATGGATGTGACTTGAGAACACAATTCTCGTGTTTTTTTTCTTTTTTCTCATTTTCATTGAAATAAGCCAGACACACAAGCTTAAGTATAGATTCTCTTGATGAGAGAGAGACAGACAGACAGACAGACCACAGAGATAGACAAGTAGAAATAAGGAGTTCAAATAATTTCCCAAATTATTCCATTACTTCAAAACTATATTTAAGTCGGGTCCTTCCGCCACAGCAACCATTGAAAAAGAGTAGCCATGGCCCTCCGCTATCCCATGGCCGTGGGCCTCAACAAGGGCCACAAGGTGACTAAGAATGTGAGCAAACCGAGGCACAGCCGCCGCCGCGGACGTCTCACCAAACACACCAAGTTCGTGCGGGACATGATCC